CCGAGTAGCCTGGGGACTACAGGCGGGCCCGGGCCGCCGTATGCCAGGACTGAATGTTTTTTGTATTTTTATCGCCGGTTAGAGACGGGGTTTCACGTGTTAGCCAGGGGATGGGGTCTCGTATCCTGACTCGTGATCCGCCGCGCTCGGACCTCCCGAAGTGCTGGGGATTAAAAGCGGTTGAGGCACGCGCCCCAGCCCAGCCAGCCACACACAATATTTTAAGTGAAAACCACAGGTTATAAAACAATAGTATAATCCACTTGATGAGTTATTTTAAGTTTGTAAACAAATATGCATAGAGAAAATCTGGAAAAATACGTGCCGGCTGTAAAGTGGTTATTGCTCGCGGGATAAACTGTGGGAGACTTTTTCCCTTTTTGCTTCTCTGTGTTGTGATTTCCTAAAGACAGGGCAGTGGTGTCCCTGGACTGCTCTGCAACTGCAGGCCCTAACAGCCCCACTGTGTCTGCTCACCCAAGTCTGACAGGTGGCAGGGCAGTGTCTGAGGCCCACTGGGGTACAGACACAGGAAAGCTGGGGTGGGGGCTTCTCATCCCCATCTCTGCAGCCTCATCCTCTCCCCAGCTACACAGACCCAGATGGCCGCTGCCCTGGACTCCTGATGCCGGACCAGATGAAGGCAGGCACCTACAAGCTCACCTTCGACACTGAGGGCTACTGGAGGAAGAGGGGGCAGGAAAGCTTCTACCCATACGTGGAGGTGAGAGCCCCGGTGGGCTGGAGGGCCTGAGGCCCATGACTCACTGGGATCTGCAGCCCAGGTCCTGCTGGCCGGGCATCATTTAGACAGTGGGCAGACTGGTCCTGGGCGGTGGCAGGTAGGTGAGCTCACTTGCTTTGAGACACCAAAAGAAAGGTGTCCAGGCAGCAATAGACTCTATGAGGACACACCCATCGCTGACCTGCTCAGGGTCAGGCTTTGTGGGGAGGCTGGGCCACTCATTCCCTCTTTGTTGACACAGGTTTTCATCTGAGCCAACTCCAGCTCTCTGGGCCTAACCTCACTGCCTCACCCCACACTGGAGCCGCCACAGAAGCACCTGACTTATTGGGCTGCAGCTTCTGTGGAGTGTCCCTCTGGTGCAGACCCTCAGTCTGGGCTGCTGAATTCTCCCAGGTGTGTTGGGGCCAGACAGGTGGTTTGCTGCCATCCCCTTATGCTCTCTCCCGGCCCTCTCTCCGTCTCAGGTTGTGTTCACCATCACCAGCGACGCCCAGAAGTTCCACGTGCCCCTGCTGCTGAGCCCCTGGTCCTACACCACCTATCGAGGGAGCTAGAGCGAAGACTGGCAGCAGGAGGCTGCCTGCCCTTTCCCGCACGCTGGCTGCACCCACCCAGCCCTCAGCAGAGTGGGCTTCATGCTCATCGGGGAGCACTGGTGTCACCAATTCCTGGGGAAGTCTTGGCCCCCTGGAGAATCCCACTGGGCGGCTGTGACTCAGGTGTCAATAAAGTCAGTGCCAGCACCTGCAAAGCTGTCCACTTGATGGGACAACAGTGGCATGAAGACAGGCAGCACAGTGCAGCACTGCCCCAGCCCCCAGGTGAGTGCGAGGCACTCTGAGAAGGTGCTGCTGACTGTGGTCAGAGGTGAGACCAGGCAGTAGGCCCGGACACAGCCTGGACATGCACCCAGGGAAGGAAGCGACAGGGACACCACGGGTGAGGGTCCTGCAGGTGGTTCTCCTCCACAGAGCCAGGAATGAGGATGGCAAGAACATGTGAAAAGCTTTCATTTGCTGATGATAAAATCTAAAAAACTTGCTGTCCTTGGTGTGAAAGGGGTTGTCATCCAGAGTGTTCCTAGGCTGGCTGTCTGGGCTGTGGCCCCCCAGTGGGGCGGCTACGTGGGGGTGCCCACCAGTCCCGCGGGGCCCTGGCCCAGTGTCTGCCCGATCACAGCTGTTTCCAAGGGCTTGAAGCCCACGTTGTCCAGAGGGATCCCGAAGGCCAGCAGCTTTGCCTCGTACGTGCGCAGCAGGTCGTTATGGGCCTGTGGAGACAGGGTGGTGTGAGGGAGCTGAGGATCCCTAGGCTCAGGACCACCAGAGCTGAGTGCAGCTCCGTGGAGGGGCAACGTGAGCATCACGGTGTAGAAGGATAAAGCCAAAGGCTTATCAGTCATTTCCGGTGTGGGACACAGCACCAAGCACCTCCACTGCATTGGCTCAGGTAGCACGACAGGGAGAGGCTGTTCCTATTCCCGTTCCACAAATGAGGAGACAGAGGCAGAGGGCAGGGACACTCAGGGCAGAGCTGTGGTCTGGGAGGGCTCTGGGCCCTGGTTGGGGGTTTCCCACTCAGGTTCTTCACGCCCTCCCTGCCCCTGTTGAATGACGTCTGTTACCTTCCCTGGTGGGCACAGCACCTTCTGACTCCCTGCCCAGTGGAAGGGGCTGACCAGGGAAGGGTCCAGGTCCCCCCCACACCCATCCCAGCAGAGATGTGGCCTAGACAACAGTGCTGTGCCCCAGACCACACAGAATCCAGATGCTCTCCGCTGGGGACAGTGACAGCTGCCTTGTCAAACGAGGTACAAAGTGGGAATGGGTGCGGTCCTCTGAGACCATCTGCATTTAGAACAGGCTGGGCACCGAGGGGGTGGCCCTGAGGGAGGGCAGGGCACATCCGTACCTTACAGACCCGGGCCAGCTCATACTGCAGGTCCTTGATGGTGCTGTTCTTTGATTCCAGAACATCCTGAGGAGAGAGAGGTGATGGAGTTTGAGACTCATCTTTTGGCTGAGGCAGTGGGGGTGGCCTGGGGGTTCCAGTGGGGGTCCTCAGAGATCCAGGGAATGGCAGCCCGGTTTGATGGATGCATCCATCCACACAAGGTCGTCAGCAGAAAAAGGTCTCCAAGGGTGGAGAGAAAACAACAAGGAAGAAACAGAGAACTGGGAGCCTGTGCTCACACAACCTGCATCTCCATCAACAGTCCGAACCGGGCACAGCCGCTCACACCTGTGATCCCAGCAGTTTGGGAGGCCAAGGAAGGCAGATGACTTGAGGTCAGGAGTTTGAGACCAGCCTGGCCAACGTTGTGAAACCCCATCTCTACTAAAAATACAAAAAGTAGCCGGGCACAGTGGCTCGCGCCTGTGTAATCCCAGCTACTCGGGAGGCTGAGGCACGAGAATCGCTTGAACCTGGGAAACAGAGGTCGCAGTGAGGTGAGATTGAGCCACTGCACTCTAGTCTGGATGACAGAGCAAGACACCACCTCAAAGAAACCCCAAAAACGGTCCAGACACACAAGAAATGCAGATGAGGCAAGGGCAGGCAGCGTGCAGCCACACCGTGGAGACGGGCCACTAAACACCATTCGCCTATTGCTTACATTTCTTAAGGCTTGTGAATGTACTATCTCATTTTTTTTTTTTGAGATGGAGTCTCGCCCTGTTGCCCAGGCTGGAGTGCAGTGGTGCAATCTAGGCTCGCTGCAACCTCCGCCTCCCAGATTCAAGGAATTCTCTGCCTCAGCCTCCCAAATAGCTGGGATTACAGGCACCTGCCACCATACCCAGCTAATTTTTGCATTTTTAGTAGAGACGGTTTCACCATCTTGGCCACGCTGGTCTTGAACTCCTGACCTTGTGATCTGCCCGCCTTGGCCTCCCAAAGTGCTGGGATTACAGGCGTGAGCCACCGCGCCCGGCCATCCCACTTTTTTGTAACAGAAACAAATAGTCTTCAGCAGCGTTGGCCCCACCCAGATGTGGGCAAGGGTTTCACCACGTGGTGAGGCAGGGGGCTTCTTGGGCTCCTGCCTGTGGGGCACTGCTGGGCCCAGCCTGGCTTTTGAGCCGTCTCTGCTGCCCACTGACACAGCAGCCCCCTCACACCCCAACCTGCCCAGTCTGCAAACAGTGTCCCTGCGGGGGCCTCTGTCATTTCCCCAGAAGATTCCTCACTTAGAAGTCAAGGTAACAATGACCAGGAAAGAAGGAATTGACCCACATTTAGCTCCATCCTCACCCTGGTGCGTGGGCGCAGCTGCAACAACTCTCACAGGCCACGACTGCTCTCTTCACCCTCATTGCGGTGGCTTAGCAGCAGGCCGGGTGCAGCCCTCAGCCAGGAGCTGGAAACACACCTCCCCCGCCTCCCAGCAGTGACCCCTCACCTGCCTGTGCTCACAGGGCCCAGTGCTGAGCAGACCAGCAAAGATGAGTCTTCAGTCTGGGGGCCAGAGTGCCTCTGGCCCAGGTGAGGCCCCTCCTGTCCAGCCTTACTACCTCAGGCCCTGAGAGCCAGGCCATCCCAGATGACCAGGGTCCCACAGGCACCACCACCCACTGGGCCAGGACCCATGGTTCCCCCATGTGCGAACACCGAGTCACCTCGGCCCCTCCCAGCCCCACCTGTGGACTCAGCCTCCTGGTGGTTCTTAAACCCTCTGCCTGTCCCCACGGTGTGCTGGCCCCACCCGGCCCCGCCAGCCCTGTGCTCCCCATCAGCAGCAGAGTGGGCTCTGATCTGGTTCCCCCTGCCCAGCCCTTCCATAGTTCCCAACTGGCCCGAAACTCAAAGGCACAGCTGACGGGCCTTTCAGAACCAGCCTTTTCAGCCCAGTCCTGCATCTGTCCAACACATGTCCAACAACTGTCCAACACCTCAGCTCAGCGAGGGGCTCACTACTATGACTGTGCCACTGCACTCCAGCCTGGGCGACACAGCAAGACTCGCAGGAAAAAAAAAGAGATTAGGTGACTTGAATGAGGTTAACCCTTGGCCTGGTGTCAGCGATGAGCACATGGATTTGTGTTCAGCTGAACTGCATGTGGACCAAATCACCTTAAAAACGCCATCTGTGGCCTTGCGGCTGGAACCACCATCTTCCAGTAATTCGCCCAAATGACAAACACAAAGGGAAAGAGGAGAGGCACCCGATACACGTTCTCCGGCTTTTTAGAAAACAGAGTTGTTCCTCTGGCCACGTATATGCGAATCTGTAAGAAAGCTGATACTGCAGACATCAAGGGAATGGGTACTGTTCAAAAAGGAAGCCCCACAAGTGCTGCCATGGCTGAACTGGGGAGTCTGCAGTGTTCCCCAGCACGCTGCTGGCGTTGTTGTAAACAAACAAGGGCAAGATTCTTGCTGAGAGAATTAAGGTGTGTACTGAGCACACTGAGCACTCTAAGAGCCGAGACAGCTTCCTGAAACGGGTGAAGGAAAATGATCAGAAGAAGAAAGAAGCCAAAGAGAAAGGTACGTGGGTTCAACTGAAGCGCCAGCCTGCTCCACCCAGAGAAGCAGCTTTGTGAGAATCAACGGGAAGGAGCCCAAGCTGCTGGAACCTCTTCCCGATGAATTCATGGCATCATAGGTGTTAAAAAAACACAAGACCTCTGGACTATAAAATGTTTCTCTTCATTGAGTAGAAGTGTGGCATCCTCTCCCCCAAAGAAATATTTAAAGCAAATTTTAATTGTGTCCTAATTCATTATGTAATGTCTTCACTACTCAAATGTAATGTATTTCTTGCTGAAAGACGTGAGGTAGCTTATTGTGCAACAAATTACTCAACTGGTTAGAAAATGGCCAGGTAGGCCGGGCGCGGTGGCTCAAGCCTGTAATCCCAGCACTCTTGGGACGAGCCGAGGACAGCGCACTCACCAGGTCAGGAGATCGAGGACCATCCTGGCCGAACACGCTGGAAACCCCGTTCTTTTACTAAAAATACAAAAAACTTTAGCCGGGCGCGAGGTGCGCGGGGCGGCCTGCTAGTCCCAGCGTACTCGGGAGAGGCTGGAGGCCCGAGCAATGGTGTGAACACCGGCGAGGCCGGAGCTTGCAGGTGGAGGACTGGAGATCCGGGGGGGGGGCCACTGCACTCCCGGCCTTGGGCCACAGAGCGCGACTTCCGGCCCCGTCAAGGAAAAAAAAAAAGAAAGACAAAATGGCAGGTATCCAGGCGTGCGTGGCTCACGCCTGTGATCCCAGCACTCTAGCGGGCCAAAGTGGGGTGGATCCGACGAAGGTAGGAGTCCAGAGATCCCCTGGCCCAACATGGTGAAAGCCCATCCTCTCTTACTAAAAAAAATTACCAAAAATTTGCCAAGGCCGCATGCTCACAACCTGTAATTCCAGCACTTTGGGAGAGGCTGAAGTGGGCAGGTCATTAGAGGTCAGGAGTTTGAGACCAGCATGACCAACAATGGTAAAAACCCGGTCTCTTTTACTAAGAATCTACACAAATTTGCCAGGCGTGGTGGTGCACGCCTGTAATCCCAGCTACTCAGGAGGGCCTGACGGCAGGAGAACTGGCTGTGAACCAGAAGGTCCAGAGGGTTGCAGTGAGCCGAGATCGACGCCACTGCCCACTCCAGACTGTGGGGGTGACAGAGCCAAGACTCCCTGTCTCAGGAAAAAAAAAAAAACGCGATTTAGCGACCAAGAAGAATGGCCAAGTATGTATGTAGAACTTATTGTTTTACTGCCGGTTTAGATATCAGTCCCTTGTAAATCCACAAAGGAAGAATAACATATAATTTTACAAAGAAAAAAAACAAAAAAGCCTCTGCGCTGGCTTGCCACCAGTACGGGTGGCTTCATGCCTGTAATCCTAGCACTTTGGGAGGCTGAGGCGGGCGAATCACTTGAGGTCAGGAGTTCAAGACCAGCTTAACCAACATGGTGAAACTCCGTCTCTACTAAAAATACAAAAATTAGCCGGGCGTGGTGGCACATGCCTGTAATCCCAGGTACTCAGGAGGCTGAGGCACGAGAACCACTGGAACCTGGGAGGGAGAGGCTGCAATGAGCTAAGATCACGCCACTGCACTCCAGCCTGGGCAACAGAGCAACACTTAGTCTTGAAAACAAACAAACAAAAATGCCATCTGTGATAGTTCTCAGGATAAAAGATGCTTCCCCAGACAGTTAGGAAGCCTCAAGCCTATGTCCCAGGCATCTGTTTCACTGAAGGACGAGTTCAGCACAAAGACAGACGGACACCCTGCGGCCCCGAAGGCTGCATCTCTGTGACAACCCAGCCTCCCTGTGCTGGGGCTGTTGGTAGAGGCTTCAAGACCAGCTGTTTCCAGCTCAGCAGCAGCAGCTGGGCCAGGGGCACATGTCATCCAACTTGGAGGGCCCCGAGGAAGCCACAGGCCTGGCCTCACCTGGCCAGGATTCTAGTGTCAGTCAAAGACCCTTTGCCCTGTATCCTGTTCCTTCTGTGACTTCTCCCAGCGAGGTCCAGGGAACAGAGGCAAGGCCCAGGTCCACAAGCTGGACACAGGTAAGAGACCACCTGTGAGGCAGTTGCAGGCTCCAGCCTCCTCCTGATCCTCCAGCTGATGCTGTTTCTCCCTGTGGGGGGCCCAGGCCTCATCTGCTTTCTTTACTGCCCTCGCCCATGCCCGGGACACCCTAGCAGAGCAGCACCATAAATAACTGTGACACAGAATGAGGGAATGTCTGGGCTCTGCTTAGACTTCATGTCCCCAGTACCTGCAAAGGTGGGGTCAGGCTCCCCAGGCTCCCACGGCCCTGCACTTACCGTATCCGTAACTGTCCATGTCCTAAACCAGCCCATCTCAGGGCCTCCCGGTACCATCTCTGTCCCAGGATGCGGTGCCCTGGGCTGAGAGCTCAGGAAGTACCGCCATCCTCCAGGCCTGTGTCTGGGTCTGTTACCACCAACAGACGAGCTCAGGCCCACAGAGATTCCAAGAGTGGCTTTTCCACTCCCAAGGCCATCCTCAGGCTGCACTCAGATGACTAGAGCCTTACGTGCTCAGATGAGCCAGACCCGAGAATTGGAGTGGGCAGAGGCTCAGAGGTTAGGAGTCACCATGAGGTCACACAGGGGCAAGGGAAGATCCAAGAGAGACTTGAGCAGAACTGTGAGAAGAGGCTGCTGGTGCAGACGGTGAGAGGCATACATGCCTACGGCACCCCGCTGTTCTCAGGTCACAGGAAACCCATGAATGCCCCCTCCCCAGTGGTTAACCGAGGGGTCTCTGTGCCCGTCCGAGGGGGAACAGCACAGAACTGAAGACCCTTGCCACACGGAAGAGGCTGCCCACTGGGGCCAGGAGCCTGTCTAGGGCCTACCTCAAGCTTGCGGGACACCAGCGTCAGGGCTGCGGGGTCCAGGTTAGAGGCAGCCAGGACCTCGTTGAACTGCACCTCCTTCTTCTCCACAGCAGCGCTCAGAGCCTGTAGCTTGCGCTCTAGCACCAGGTTCTTGAAGCCTGTCTTCTGCTGCACCTCCTGGATGGCTGCAGTGAACTTCCGGTAGAGCTCATCCCGCTCCTGCTGCACCTGCAGGGACAGCGATGGGATGGGCGATGAGGCCCCTCACCTGGGGACATCTCGCTGGCAAGATGCTGCCTCCCACCTCTGCACCTGCCTGGAACACGCTGCTTCTATGGGAGGTGGCTTTCCAATAGCGCCCACTCCCACAGCACCGGGGTGTGGTCCACACTGCCTGTGCCCTGGCCCTCTGTATAGCCACCACACAGTGGAAGGCAGGAGAAAAACGTCGGCACGAGCTCTCCTCTCAGGAAGGTGTCTCTGGAAGCCGTGAGTGTCCCGGCGAGAGCTGGAGCAGCCCCACCCTGAAAGCTGCTCCATGGGTGGCCGAGGCTGGTTCTGCCCGAGTGAGGGCTGTGGGCTCAGGTGAGATGTGAGATCCAGGGCATCCAGCAGGCAGAGCTTGCAGGTGGAACCCCTTGGAGGATGTGCTCCCTTGGCCCGCCCCAGATCCTGGCATCACAGGACAGGTGCCGTCTGCCCCCACAAATGGCGGATCTGGAGCATGGCCTTGGAGCCAGCTGCCTGCCGGCCAGTAAGACTGTTCTTTTTTACCTCCTAATTCTTCTACTTATTAATTGCACATTCTAAAAAAAATCTAGACCTGGTTGAAGACTATAAAAAAGTGAACACCCTGAGCAGGGCGCAGTGGCTCACGCCTGCAATCCCAGCACTGGGCGTCGCAGACGGCGGGTCCCGAGGGGAGGCGGGTGCGAGCCTGGGGTGGGATGACGCTGGGGTCAGGAGGTCAAGTGACCAACCTGGCCAACATAGTAAAACCCATCTCTATCAAAAATACCAAACATTAGCCTGGGCATGGTGCGCAAGCGCCCTGAATCCCCAGCACCGGAGGGTAGGTGGTGTGGAGTCTACCCTGATGGAGGTCAAGAGGTTCGAGACTAGCGGCCGCCCTGGTCCAACCCTAGGACGACGAAGCGGGACTGAGTCTCATACTAATAGAGTACAAAAAATTTAGTCATGATCCCGATTTAATTTATTATAGATAGCAGAAAAGAAGCACAAAAAATTAGTTGAGCATAAGGTGGCAGGGCCGAGCCTGGAGAGACCCAGCTACTCGGGAGGCTGAGGCAGGAGAATTGCTTGAGTCCAGGAGGTGGAGGATTGCAGGAGACCTAAGGTCACGCCATTTGTATGCATGCTACCAGCTCCGAACAACAAGAGCGGAAACTGCCATCCTCAAGACAAAATACAAAAAAAAGTGAACACCCTTAACCCAGCTTCCCAGAGGCCACCCACCATTGTGAAACCCTTGGTGATGACCACCTTATCCAGAATGTTCTCTATACAATTAAAAAAAAACATTTTAATGACTAGATCGAAAGAACACAGGACATGCTAAAAGGACTGCCGCGCATTTATTCAAAGCACGACCTGGTGGATACCTGAGCACCTCCAAGACAGCACCGTGGCCTGTATCTTCTAACGCTGTTACGTTAGTAATTCCGCCAGATGTGCCTTAACATCCAATTCCCCTGTCCCAGGCACCGAGTTCTGATTATAAGTGCCTTTGGGCCCGGGCGCAGTGCGCACGCCTGTAAGTCGCCACACTCTTGCGGACGGCTGGAGCGGAAAAGAGCGGATCGCGAGACGGTCAAGAATCGAGACCATCCTGTGCTACCATGGCTGAAAAACCCGTCTCTCACTAAACTGGAGCAAAAAATTAAGCCGGGCAATGGTGGGGGCACCTGTATCCCGCTACAGTGGAGGGTGAGCCGGCTTTGCCGCGCGGAGGTTGCAGTGAGCCAAGATCGCCGACACGGAGCCTCCAGCCTGAGCCCTGGCAGTGAGACTCCACCTCAAAAAATAAAAATAAATAAGTAAGTGCCTTTGGTCTCTAAATTTTGCTGATAAATTTGAGCTCCCAGTTCTCTAGGAAGAGACACTGACTTTGACACTGTCAGGAACCACATTCAAACGGAGGAAAATATGGCAGGGAACAAGACTCCAACCCAGGCACGTCTCTGCTCTCCTCTTCCCAGTAATGTCCACCTCAAAACTCACAGGGAGGAGGAAGGGCCCCTAACACAGCAGTCCTCAGAGTCTCACTGGGGCACCCTTCCCTTAGGTGCCAAGAGTTGGCACAGCCTAGCAATGCACATCAGGTAGGACCTGAGGTGTCTCCGAAGGTGGGGCTAGATCTGACAGACAGATGGGATGTTTCCGAGGGGCGAATCCTACTACAACCGTTTGTGTTCATGAATTTCAGTTAGACTAGAGAACACAAACAGCACACGTAACTGCAGCTCAAGATAAGATGATCTGGCCACGCACACCACACACAAAGCCTTGAGGGCCCCATGGTGCAAGGATTGGTCCTTGGCCAGAACTTTGAAACTCAACAGAGGCAAGGAGTCTCTTTGAGGGACAAAGACAGGACCAAGCATCCCTACCACTCACTGGCAATCTCGGAAGGGCACACGAAATGAAATGTTTTCCCCCCAGTCACTTCTGCAAAGGTTTAAACCTGTCAGATCTGGTGCAGCTGAGGATGGAGACGGCCCCTCCGCACCCTGGCAGGTGTGTGACTCAGAGCAGCCCTCTGGACAGATCAGAACCCTCAACACAGACCCCTCAGACCCAACAATCCCACTGCTAGGACCTGGCTTTCCTAAGAAGCAATCTCACACAAGTGCACAAAGACAAATTTAAAAGGATCGAGGCAGCAATGCTTATAACAGCAGAGGATTAGAAACAGAGGGGAGTCAGCTAAATGATCAAACATTCATGAAATGCAGCACCACGTGACTGTGAAAAGGATGAAACGGCTTCCTGTGTGCAGCCTGATACACTGTGAGATTAAAAAGCAAGTTGTGCTTATGGCCTGATCCCGTGTTCATAACACACACAGTCACATCCACACTGGAGCATGCAGGAAACCTGGAAGGGAGCTCATAAAACTCGCCAGCGTGAGGAGCTGGAGGCTCATTTTCACTTACACTTAAGACCCCATGACTTCTTTACAATGAGAAGGTAATAGGTTAGCACTTAGAAACATAAACCCATGGAAGAAGAGATGCTGCAGGGGCCAGGCATCCCTCATGGGCTTTGAGAGGTGAGCGCTTGAGGGGCCGAAAGTCATGTGTGATCTGCTCCCCATGAGACCTCAGGCGTTCTGCAGGATATGCATGCGGAATAGGCCAAAGGTTTTTGCCTCTTAGAAGCTGTGGAATGAGTTACAGGGAATAGGGCCCCCAGCTTCAGAACCCAAAAACCTGGCCAAGGTATCTGAAGCTGGTCCAGGGGCCAGGGCCACAAGGAGAGCCCCGTCCCTGGCTAGCAGGGGTGCCACCCCCCGCTGCAGGGCCAGCCTGGTGCCCACTCACCTTGGTGAACCGCTGCTCTAACACTTCATGCTCCCACTGCAGGTCTTTCAGCTCTTTCTCTGTGACTTTCAAACGGGCTTTTGTGCACTGGAGGAAAAACGGAGTAGGGGACAAAAGCATTCAAGATTCACAGTCATCCAAGTAACACAGGCTCCTGGGAGATGGCAAGGCCAAAAACAATCACCAGAAAGACATGGTTCCAGGACACAAGCAGCTGAGCCCCATCAAGGCAGGTCAGTAGTACACGGTGGAAGATGAGGGCCTTGTCTCCAAAACACCCCCAGACTTTACTTTCCCCAGGAGAACACAAGGCAGAAAAAGGAGAAATGCAGGCCTCCCCCGTCTCCCTTCCTGCCCCTGTGATGCTCCTTCCTCCTGAGTCTAGGCTAACTCGTGCCAAGGAGGGAGAGGAATCCAGCAGGAAACTCACAAGCAGGATCTGCTTGTCCCTCTGGTAGTTGGCGAGCTGCTTCTGCATCTCGCTCATCTCCTCCCGAGCCTTCTGGAGAGGGTCTGCCAGGCGCTTGTTCTGCACAGACACCTCTGCCATCTCCCTCTCCAGGTGGTCCTCCTTCTTCCGCATGTCCTCCATCTGCTCCTGCAGGCACAAGCACAGGCCCAGCAGGGGCTCAGCAGGCAGAACCAAAGGGGCTGTGGCCTGCAGGGTGAGAGCTGGGTGCTCTCCTGCCCATCACCAGATCCTGCCAGCCTCAGGCATGCTAGCACCTAGACCTGTTCTATGTATAAACAGTATTTCTGCAGCTTCAACTTATTCGGAGTTTTCTGGGAATGCAGCTTCCATGCACACTGAGGGACTACACTTTGTTCAAGATTCCACCAAGGGCCGCTGTCTACTGTAGAAAGTCCTGTCACTGCCAGCATGTAGTGACGATGACACTTATCCACTCCGGCCACATCATGTCATTCACTGCAGTTCCACCCGAGCTTTTACAAATCAGAATACACTTGATTACTTCCCCCTCCGCACTAGGGTGAGGGCAATATCCTGACTGCTTTTAACAATAGGTAGCGATAGGTTACATTATTTAGGAATTTCAATTAAGGATATGAGAAGGGCATTGTCAAATAATCCTATAAAAAGTATCGGGGGTGTTGGGGTGGAGAGCTGGGGTCTGGATCCCCAGGACTCTGCAGCCCACATTCTAGGACAGGCAGAGTGTGTCTCCCCAGCCCACCCCACGCGCAGCACCTTGAGGGAGTTGATGAGGGCCAGGTTGTTGAGGGTGATGTCATTGTAGTAGTTCTTGATGTCGGTGAAGGCCTCCTCGTGGCGCTGCATCAGCGTGTTGATCTGGCTGTTCTTCCTCTCCTCCACCTCGTGGAGCTCAGTCTTTCTCCGCAGGTCGAGCTCGTCCCTCAGCATCTTCATCTTCTTATCATACTTGGCCTCAATTTCTGAAAGGCAGCAGCAAACAGCAGCTTGGCAGAGGAAGAAGTGGTGCCCCTATGGCTACAGAACATGCAGCCTGTAAACAGGGGCCCAAAACGCCCATTGTGGTCAGAACAGCTTTGCAAGCAAGCTCTGCAAGAGAACAGAGGGGTTTAGACTGAGTGTTTTCTGCTGCTGCTCGTACTCGGCACACATACCACTGTCGGCCTGCCTTTGCCAGCGACAGGCATTGCTAATCGCTCCCTGCACTGGGGGTGCCAACAGCTGCATGTCAGCTGACCCCAGTGAGCAGTAAGCAAGGCCTCTGTGGCCATCCAGCCAGACTATCAGCCTTTATGAGTAAAACAGACTGCTGAAATTGGAGCCTTCTCAGACCAGGAGCCATGGAGAAGACTATTTTAAAAATGCTGCCCATGGCACTGAATAGCTACCACCTGCTGAGAACTACTGATTTTAGCTAGGAGTGGGAAAGTGTGTGGGAATCACAGCCTCCCAAACTCACATGGAAATAGGTTGTTCTAGGATTCTGAGTGGGTCTACTGGCCTTGGAAACTTCCACATTCTCTCTCTTGCATGCCTGGGCTGTTGTAATCTAGTTTTTGTTCCCTGAGTTAACAAGCTCTGGAGGTAAATTCCTTTCGGATGGAGGAGGGGAGGGGAGGGTGTCTCTGGCACTGTCCTACACAATGAGCACATGGGAAACTGACCTCGAACTTGCCTCTCAAAATCATTCCGCATCTTGGTGATCTCCTCGGTGTGTTTCTGCACAGGTGAAAAGAGGCTGTTACTGGACAGCCAGACACAGAGGCAAGCCCGCTCCCTTCAGGCTGACCCTGTTCCTCACCTCCATGAAAAACCCAGCCCAACAAACCCCATTTTGCTGCTGGCTACTGGGTTCCCCTCACCTCCAGGTTCATGAAATATGCCCAGAGTAACACGGTTTTGTTCACCTGCACATTTCCTAACTCACCTCCCTCAACTAAAGTCGCCTCTAAACTTGAGAGAACATGAACAGACGTCATGAGCACTGAACCCAGCTTGGTTCCCTTACCAAACCATCCCACAGCCTGGAGAGCAGCAGCCACATCCACACAGAGCCGTGGGATCTCTCCAGGTGCCGTGTGTAGTTTCCAACCTGCTGCACTGCTGCCTAAAGCAGCATTTTCAAAGTATTCACACCTGTCATCCCAGCACTTTGGGAGGCCGAGGTGGGCCAACCACCTGAGGTCGGGAGTTCGAGACCAGCCTGACCAACATAGAGAAACCCCATCTCTACTAAAAATACAAAATTAGCCTGGCGTGGTGGCGCACGCCTGTAATCCCAGCTACTCGGGAGGCTGAGGCAGCAGAATCGCTTGAACCCGGGAGGCGGAGGTTGTGGTGAACTCAGATTACACCACTGCACTCCAGCCTGGGCAACAAGAGCAAAACTCCATCTCAAAAAAAAAAAGATTAGGTGGGTGTGGTGGCTCATATCTATAGTCCCAGCTACTTGGGAGGCTAAGGCAGAAGGATCACTTGAGACTAGGAGTTCGACGCTGCAGTGAGCTACGACTGTACCATTGCACTGCAGCCTGGGAGACAGAGTGAGACTTCATCTCTAAAAATAAATATATATTTTTTAAAATAAGCAATTATTATATATTATATTTAAATAAACATTATATATTAAAATTTTGCATAAAAAATTAAATTTTTTTTTTTTTTTGAGACGGAATCTCGCTCTGTCGCCCAGGCTGGAGTGCAGTGGCGCCATCTCGGCTCACTGCAAGCTCCGCCGCCCAGGTTCACGCCATTCTCCTGCGTCAGCCTCCCGATTAGCTGGAACTACAGGTGCCTGCCACCACGCCCAGCTAATTTTTTTGTATTTTTAGTAGAGACGGGGTTTCACCATGTTAGCCAGGGTGGTCTCGATCTCCTGACCTTGTGATCCGCCCGCCTCGGCCTCCCAAAGTGCTGGGATTACAGGTGTGAGCCCGGCCAATTATTTTTAAAGCAGCAATCTTTCTTTTTTTTTGAGACAGATTCTCACTCTGTTGCCCAGGCTGGAGTGCAGTGGCACGATCTCGGCTCACCACAACGTCCGTCTCCCAGGTTCAAGCGATTCTTCTGCCTCAGCGTCCCAAGTAGCTTGGATTACAGGCGCGCGCCACCATGCCTGGCCAATTTTTGTGTTTTTAGTAGAGACAGGGTTTTGCCAAGTTCGTCAGGCTGGTCTCAAACTCCCAACCTCGTGATCCGCCCGCCTCGGCCTCCCAAAGTGCTGGGATTACAGGCGTGAGCCACCACACCTGGCCTAAAGCCGTATTTTTACCCAGCAGGAAACTCTGATTCTATAACAATACCATATCCAGGACCTGGGTTAAGACCAGATAATTCTGGAGGGTTCAAGACTTCAGCACTCTTTTTTTTTTTTTTTTTTTTTGAGACGGAGTCTCGCTCTGTAGCCCAGGCTGGAGTGCAGTGGCCGGATCTCAGCTCACAACAAGCTCCGCCTCCTGGGTTCACGCCATTCTCCTGCCTCAGCCTCCCGAGTAGCTGGGACTACAGGCGCCTGCCACCTCGCCCGACTAGTTTTTTGTATTTTTTAGTAGAGACGGGGTTTCACCGTGTTAGCCAGGATGGACTTCAGCACTCTTATGCTTTGCTGCAAAGTCAGCAATGTCACCAAGTTTCTTCCAGATTCAGTTGAGGCTGGACTGCTTCCAGGCATGAGGCAAATGCGTTAAGAAAGTCTCCTCAACCCAGCAGCCAGGAAGAGCCTTAGTCAGACACGACTCTCCTCTGCCCAGGTTCTCAGAGGGCAATCGACTCCCCCAGGGTCACAGTCCCACTCCTCACACAGCTTTCAAGGCGGACAAGCTCTGACCCCTCTCCCCCAGCGTTCTCCTCCTTGTTACTCTGGGCCTTCCCACTGGCCCATCCCCTCTCCCAGCTGGTCACCTACTTGTACAAAACTGCACCTCTCCCCACTTTGCTCCTTCTGTAGCACTCTTCCCCACCAGATACTCTGTTGTATCTGACACATTTATTTTGTCTTCCAGCTCACCCGTTGTCTCTCCTTTCTAGACCATCAGACCCAGTCGGGCAGGCATTTTGTCAGAGATCAGATCAGGACCTAGCAGCTAATGGACACTCAGCCAGTAAGTTCTTTCCTTTTTGTTTTGTCTCACTCTGTCACCTAGGCTGGAGTGCAGAGGCGCAATCCTAGCTCACTACAGCCCTGACTTTCTGAGCTCTAGAGACCCTCCGCCTCAGCCTCCCAAGTAGCTGAAACTATCGGCATGAGCTGCCACACCAGTTAACGGTTTTTTAATTTTCAGACATGGGGTTCAACTATTTCACCCAAGCTAGTCTCAAACTATTGGCCTCAACCAATTCTCCCACCTAACCCTCCCAAGTGCTGGGATTACGGGTGTGAGTCACTCAACCAGGTGCACAAATGAATTTAGTGCTGCTCTGGAAACCCCCCGCCTCAAAAGTAAAAATCACACCAGCTTGTGTGACCAACTGTCACAGCTGCCCAGGAGTCAACACACTGGATATTTTAATGGTTGGTTTGCATTCTACTAAATGCATCTGACGCTATTCCCTAGGAAAAGTCTCTGGGTATCAGGTGTCAGCAGCACATGAAAGATCCTAAGCTGGATTTTTTTCTTCAGGGACGTCAATTTTTTGCTGAGATCTGAAACAGAATTGTGTACTTGGTCCCAAAATGGAGTTTGTTTGGATGCATGCTTTAAAAAAAATTTCAACAAATTGCAAAAATGCAGAAGGTCTTACACAAAAACATGAATTCCCAGTTGCTGTTGAATAAACAGGAGTTCATGCAGCACTAGGCTCACCGTCCCAACCACCTGTCAGCCTCCACGTGCCCCCGCCACACCTACCAGCCGTAGGTTCTTCACCACCACCTCGTTGGCCAGCTCCTGCTCCTTGAGCTCCACCTTCAGTGCCCGCATGTCCTTGCGCAGCACACCCTCCTGTGTGTGGTGCTCCTTCTGTGCCAGCTTCATGACTACGGTGCCCTCGGCCTTCATCTCAGTCAGGTTGTTCTGGTGCTCATACAACAGGTGCTTCACTTTCTGCTTGTACACCTGCAGGGCAAAGGGAGTACCACCTGCTCACCTGCACCACACCTGTACCACACCTCCTCACCCGTCCATACCTGTACACACCAGTCACCTGCACCACATCTGTACACCTCCTCACCAGCACAGCACCTGAACCACACCTGTACCACACCTTCCTCACCTGTCCATACTGCACCACCTGTTCACCTCTACCACACCTCCTCACCTGCATCATTCCTGTACAGCCCTGGCGATCACATGCGACCACACCGTCACCTGTACATACCTGACAGACCGTTCACCTGCACCACACAGTACCACCATCTCACCTGTCCGTAACCTGTATCAGACCTGGTCACCTGGCACCGACACCTGTACAACTCCTCCATATTATTACACACCAGTCACCTGCACACATTGTACAGCCGTCCTCACCAGCACATTCTGTACATACTGGTCACCTGAACCACACCTGTACCTACACCTCCTCACCTGTCCATACTGTACACACCTGTTCCGCTCTACCTAACACCTCCTCACCTGCACATTCCTGTACACCACCTGGTCACCCTGTACCACCCTCACCTGTTACATTACCTGTACAGACCTGTTCACCTGCACCACACCTGTAACCACACCCCTCCTCACCTGTCGTTACTGTACTAGAGCCTGGTC